AACCTGATACTTTTTAGGCTCAAAAAGGAAAACTGAAAATTATTCAACATTTTTTTCATCGGATGACACAGGAGAACTGAAAAAATTATTCAACGTAACTGATAAATGAAGATAATATCATATTTATCTGGAAGAGCCTGATCCTAAAAGTAAAACAATGGACAGAAATGGACCACATATATATTATCGGCTAAACAATAGTAAGTAGTTTATTTGGATCTAAGTAGCCAACCACAGTAGCAACCAACAGACAATTAGCAACCTCCGAGAGACCACAAAAAATGTTTTCTAGTGAAGACTGGCCTCACCTGTTGGTAAAAATGGAAACATATGCAGCAAGTGCCGCTCTTACACATAATTCTTTAATGTTAACTCCCTGCCATAAATTTAGTATTCAGCAATTTCAGATCAGTGAAGAGTTAAAATATTCCAAAATTTATTGTTTTCCAGGTTGGCTACACTTACAGCACTCTGTAGGGCTAAACTTGATGCCTTCCACAGATAGCATCAGTGGAGGTGGAGCAGATAACAAGAATGCCATGAGGCAACCGGCAACCGGACACCTCGACGCACCACCAGCACGCCTGCGCCGACATCACCCCGGGGGCTCTCAACCGCGCCGACGAGCCCACTCGTGCAATTAATCAATTACAATATGCCATTGACATGGCTGGTAGGCCGATACTTGTGGCTGTGGGTTTAGCAGCCAATTTCATGCCAGTACCAACTCAATTTGCAGTTTTGTTTTGCCTTGGAGGTGCAGGATCGACTTCCTTCTTCTCAAATTGACAATCAAGGGAGAAACTTCAACTTGGGTCTGTGTGAATGCTTCAGCACACATGACTGAGGGAGACGAATGTTGAAGGTGTTGTTCACATCTATTTAGTATGACAAGGCCAAGATGAATTGCATAAACGATAAGGGACTTTGAAGTATGCTCACAGTGGACGAAGGATGTGATGTGCCTCCTTTGTATGATGTGCAATACTATTGACGTGTACTCGCATGCTTTGACTCATCTCTTCATGAATTAATCTCAAGATTTACCCACTTAATTTTGATTTTTTTTGCAAGGTTAGTCCACATATACAACCAATGTCTATACAAGTACTCTTGTCGGTTCAATAATCAAACTAGACATTGTGTCTAATTTAATTAAGGAATGCTATTTAACTTAAGCACAGTGCTTAATTTAAAAAGTCTACGAAATAATGATCATTACACACCAACCTTAAACTAAGCACCATGCTTAAATAAAAGGGTGTATGAACACACCCAAATCAAAGCATGCTAAATAGAAAGAGGAAGCATGAAAGCATAATCAAGATTTACTTCACATGGAGATCAAAAGAGAAAGAAAGTGGTGAACCAAAGGGCCATTGTACTTCTTTTTGTTATTTTTTTATACAAAAAAGGATGTGAAAGAGATGAATGATTGCAGCTAAACAAACATGTTGTGGTCTTGGAGCAACAAGTACAATGCATGAACCTCTAGGCTTAGCCTTTGCTTGCAGCGCGAATAGACTACCGACTAGACCGAATGGCATAACTAGACATCTAGGTCCGTCGGTCTCGTTTAACATACACATACTATTGAGCTGGACTAAGAACATCGATAGGTAGGTAGCAAAGAAGTTTTCCATCTATATAGGCTAGGTACACTGCTGAAATACAACTCAGAGTCTATGAGCCACCCAAAGAAAAACACTAGAGATGTAATGATTCAAGAAAAAATGTTGTGGCAAGAGCGAATGCAAAAATGTTAAAGATAACTATGGGTTACGACTACCTCACTTGATCAATTTTGCCATCACCCACAATTTGAGATAGAGTTGTGAGTGATGCAGTGTCTTTGTTCGGTCACATACGATGATTTCATTATCATTTTTATGGTGACCTTCTCTCCATTCTGCACAAATTTAGGATAATGTACACATATACGTACCTGTGAGAATTTTGCGAAAGGATATGCATGGCCCAAGTGTTGATGGATCATGAACGATTAGGTATCCTGGGCTCTTTGATTTTTTCTTGTGGAAATACGCCGAAAGGTCAGAATGGCTGATGTTGTCCTATTTGTTTCCACACTCAAACAAAACATGGGTAATCTTGCAAAACTAGTGATAGATTAGATTAGATTAGTAGACATCAATGTTAATATAAATATTTTTTGCCAATTGGTCCCAACAATGGCATCGGAAATGCTTGTTGTTATTTCCTATGCTCAAGTAGGTAATTTCGCAAGCACATAGAATATCATTATAACATTTCACTTGGGAGTATATTAGAGTATCGTATTTATCCTCATGGAAACAATGGATTAAGAGTATTGATAACTAACAATGATGTATCTACTAATTGATACACCAACTAGACTAGTGTGGGGATAAGTCATATGATAGGAGGCGTTATGATTAATAAGACACATAGGAGAATTCCATGTTAAGGATAGGAGCTGGCTAGGTTGGAAGGACAACGGTTGAGAACAAGGTTCCTATATTATTCTCTACTACTATGTTTTAACTTTACTTGGTCAGTAGTTCATAATCCACATTCTTCTTTTTTAGCAGAATAGACCTTTATTATTCTTCATAAGAAGTACAGACGCCATCAGGCGGAGATACAAACCAAATGTCTCCTTAAATTAGCATAAATACAACTCCTAGCAAGATTATGAGCATCCACATTTGATCGTCCTTCCCTCATATACGAACTCGATAAATCTAAAATTATTCAATCTAGCTCTAATTTCCTAGATAATATGACCATAAGAGCCCATACTACCTACACGTATGCTTGCGACAACTCCAGCATTGTCACATGCCACTCTGAAGTTCTGAAGTAGCAAATCGCTAGCAAGACCCAGGCCTTCTTTACATGATATCGCCTCCACCGTCTCCGGCTCCAAGCTTCCTTCCATCACTACCGTCGAGTCCCCCAAGAAGTGTCCAGCAAAGTCGCGCGCAACAGCTACAGCAATGACAGTTCCTGAGTTCTTAGCCAAGGCTGCATCAGCATTAATCTTCATTAGCACCGCTGGGGGAGGAATCCGGTGAGTGTTGCTTCTCAGAACAACAGGTCGATCCTTCACTTTTGATTGCACCAATTGGAGATAAGCCACGTTCTTCTAATTTAGTGGCACAAGGCCTTGCGGCTATGGGGTGCAAGTTGGGTCTGAGTACTATCCTTGTGCTCGACAGTATTCTAGATTGTATCCATGTACAGTTGGCCAATGATTTGGCCTCACTTATTGCGTAACGGAGATCTCTTCCATGTTAAAAAAAAAATTGGAAGGGCTAGCGCCCGGACGTCCGGCCGTAGGACGCATCCGGACGCTGCTCTAGAGCCCGCATCGCGCTCATCCACAGCCTCTTGCCTTGCTAGCTGATGTGGCCTATCCGCATCCACAGGCCATCCCCACCTGTAGGCCAACACTGGCCCTGCTCCTCCACCGTTGCCCTATGCCTAACTTGAGCACCTGAAAGGGGAAGGACCTTGACGGCCGTGACAGACCTCGCTGGCGACGCTGGAGGCGGAGGAGACACCGAGGTGAGGCAACAGAAGGCGAGGAGGAAGATGCAACACACGATCTACTTTTGAAACATCCAGATGCAACACTTGCAACATATGTCTTAATACTGATGAAACACTTGAACACATGCGTCTAAAACACTTGCAAAAACACTGAAAAACACTTGAAACCATTGTAAACATACGCAACATCCAGATAAAACACTTACAACATATGCACAAAACGTATACAACATCCAGATAAGCACACTTGCAACATATGTCTGAAAAAATAGATGAAACATTGAGAACAAAAGCTTGCAACATACGTGCAACCATTGCAACATATGCAACATCTCGATTTACTCTTGCAACATCCATATGAAACATTTATAACATATCTATAAAACATCTGAAACACTTAAAAACATGCGTTTTGCAACATGGGGAGGCCAGGGCCAGTCGAATCCAGCCGTTGGGGTCAGAGCCGGTGACGAGCGGCAGCGCGCGAGCACCATCAACCCCAGCGGCGCCCCGAGCACTACCACTACTAGCGGCACCAGCATCGGGCTTGGCTCGGACAGGCGGGCAGCGCCCGCGATGGGACGGAGCGGGCGGCGCGCGTGACGAGCGGAGCAAGCACCACCAACATTAGCTTCAGCTGCGGCGCACGAGCACCACCGGTGGAGAGGAAGGATGGTGGTAGGTGGGCGGCCACCGCGGCGAAGCAGTCGCGGCACGCGGCGGCGATGTTGGGTGTCATGGACCTCGACGGTGGAGGGTGGAGTTTCCGCTCTTCAGAGTGGACAGCGACCAAAACGATTTTTCAATAAAAATACGAGTATAATAGAACACGCTTGTTGGCGTACAGGCCTAAAGCATATTCAGGCCAGCATGGCAGCCACGGCAACATCAGCATCCGGGAGATCGGACGCCCGCCTTGGAGCATCTCTGTAAAAAAAAAAAAAAAAAAACTCAGTCATCAAATGCCCCCCCCCCCCCACCCCCCACCCCCCCACCCCCCCACACACACACACGCCCCACCGCTGCTAACCCGCCCCTCGGCCGTCGCCCTCGCCCAGCCCCCAAACCCGACCCAGGTCTTCTTCGGGCCCTTCGCCGGCGATGAGCACCACCAGGTACGCCCACCTCTTTGTCTTCCCTTCTCTGTTGTGCGAAATTGAGCACCCAACCTTGTATTCGGATCTTGTCTAACTACAAATATATACATGTATTATGCGCAGTAACTTCGATTGTTTTGCAAAACATATCGGGTCATGTGTACATCCATGTGGACATGCCCTGTACTGGGTCCACCCCTGCTTGCTACATTTGCTACCATCTGGTTTTTTAGAAACAGTTGGATACTATGGAATTAGCTACGATGGATATATGTTCTTGCTAGCTATTCTGTGGAGATGTTAGTACAGATTCTCATATGGTGGAGTACATTGCAAGCAATTCCACATAATCTTAGAGAAGATTGAGAGATGACCAATTTTTTAAAATCTGGCTTTGCTTTTAAAGACATTATTAAGAAACTTTTAAAGGTGAATTTGTACTAGATGTGCACTTATTTAGTCAAATTTATCAATACTTGTTTGAGAGATGTTCATTCCCCTTTACCCTTTTGTTTCATTCTTTCAGGTATTCCAGTTGGTCTTATGGAGAACAATGATGCAGACAAGAAAGAGACTGATGACTCCACTCTGCAGCGTCGCCGTAAAGTCAGAAAGTCCTTACTTGTGTGTCATGTTGATGCATGAGTTAATGCTGTCTGCTGCTTACATTTTCTTTTCTTTCTTTTTTTTATTACAGCCTGAACTTAAATTTGCACCCAAAGTTCTTCCTAAGAAAACACCGAAAATCATCCCTAAAAGGTAAATCAATCTATTATTTATTGTTGTCATATTTGCTCAATTCACAACTCATATTTAGGTTAGTACATTATATGTGGAATGAAAGTTATGGTGTGTTCTTCAGGGAACCACATGAGGAGAACAAGGTTTTGACAATTGATAGGAAAGTGATGACTGGAATTGGTAGCTTCCAGGTACTTAAATGTCTAGTTTTTTTTCCATATATATGTTTTGCTTTGGTAGCACATACATACAATTCCTAGTTTCATATGGCAGATGACTGATAACCCCAGAAGTGGAGCTAAGGCTGAGAAACAAGGTGATCTCCTGTGTTCATTATAATAATCTTCTTAACCTAGTAAGGATTTGATCTCATACTCAATATGCCTATATCCCGTGGGAAATAAGTTGATTAGCTCATCATTCAACCTGAGCTGCTGTCAGAATAAACTTCGTTAAATTCGAAAAGCACAATCTAGTTTTATCAGTTGTAGCATAGGATGCTATTTGACAACTTGTGTCACTCACAACATACGTCTCAATGCTTGCACCTTGACACAGGAACCCCTGTCCAGGTTTCATTTGGACGAGCAGACCCTTCAGTTCCAAGGACTTTCCCCAATCCAAGAAGCTCTTCAACAGGTAGTAGCTTAAGGTGGGCATTAGTTTCATTTTTAATTTCACCTTCACTTCATACTCACAATTTAGTTTCATGTGTTTGGCAAATTAGCAAAGAAAGTTATACTTTTGTCATTAGTAGAATCTTTGATATATACGATATACCTTTACTATATCTACTTTTATTCTTAAGTACTGTGCAATTGTTAATGTTAACTGAAAAGGTAGTTATAGAGTTTGTTCCATGTGTATTCATTGTTTAGGTGCAGCTACTATAAAATTACTCAAGGAGCATGACGAACCATGGGTGCGTAGGTACATCAAAAACACAAACATGGTGTACATTCTTTTGTCATTGATTTGATATATGTTAGTAATTTCTGCAGGATTACAAATGTACCAATTATCCTGTTACTCTACCACTGAGATGGCCCAACTCTTGAGATACAGGTTCTCTTGTTCCTGTTTCTTAGTTTCTTCTGTGTTTGGCAGTGTGATGCTCACTAGGTAACACTGTCTGGTGCTCATTAGCTTCCCACTACATATATGACAGAAAATCTTGATGAAGAGGAATTCAGCCATTCTTTGAGCAGAGCCCAAGATGGTGAACTGACCGCAGCTGAAGAACTTGGTCTGATGGTATGTATACCATATTGCATGGTTCCAACACTGTAAAGTCAATTTGTTGTGTTTCAAAGCAAATCAAAACACTCATGTTAATCGAACTGCCCTGATTTCGTATTCTGTCTTGTACATACAACTTTCAGCCTTAGCTTTTATCTTATCTTATTTTTTATTTTCTTACGCTGGCAGGAAAGGGTGGATATGCCACAGTTGCTTTTCTTCCAGTTTCCTACTTCTCTTCCTATACCAAGGGAAACTGACCCAGCTGCTGAAACAGAGACAAATACCATTGTCAATGCGAATACAAAATCCATGGGGAACTATAGGAAGAGGATGCTTGACTCAGGCAATGCCTGTAGTCTGAAAGAGCTCCCAGGTGGTCTCATGGGAAAGATACTCGTATACAAGAGTGGTAAAGTGAAGATGACGCTCGGTGATGTGCTCTTTGATGTAAGTAGCAAAAATCAGTAACTTCTGCAAGGTACATTTTCTTCCTTTTCATGATCCTGTTGTACTCAAAATTGTCAAATTGTACAGGTTGCGGCTGGCTCCAATTGCATGTTTGCTCAAGAGGTTGTAGCGATTGACACTACGGAGAAGCACTGCTCTAGCATGGGGGAGCTTGGAAAACGTGCAATTGTAACACCTGATATCGACTATTTGCTAGGTTCTATTGAGAAGATGTAGCCTGTGGTTAGGCATAAAGTGGGTATATAGTTTGGTTGGGTGGGGGCTCCTTCTGGTATTACAGAGCGAAATTGCTAGGTTCAATTCTCGGGAGTACTTCAGAGTTGGTCGCAAGTGGGTTGCTATTGCTACTGTTTTGCAGTGAAGACTATGAAGTTGCAAATCTGCAACAGGAAAGCTAACAAAATCAATACTGGTTTCAGATGTAAACGGCAGATGGATTATCTTGTTTGTTTACATTGACCGCCTTTTCACCAACAATTGCTAAGCTACTCCAAACACTTGACTGATGTTAGGAGTTAACGGGCAGCTATAGTAACAGGCAGGCCAGTGCATGCTGTTTTGGTTCATTTCATGAATGAAGGGAAACATGGTTGATGGAAATTGCTGCGCATGAAGACTGGGGCAATATTCTCGCGATTTCATGTGGAAGGGCACAGGGATGTATACATGCTGCTTAAACCATGCATGTCATTTGACCCCTAAAGCCTTGTTTCTGAAAAGATTGCTCGAAAATGTAAAGTTGGTATTAGCTACTAGCCTAGTAGCATAACCGTAGTGCATGCATTAGAGTAACTCCAAGAGATTAGCTAAAAATCTTATCAAATTTATTGATTCAGCTATTCTCTAAAATAAATCCTATCTAGATAACCTAGTCCAACATACTATGTAAAAATTGGCACTCCATATTCATACCTACCACGTCACCAAGACTTTGCGAATAAATCGTATTGAGGGTGTTGACTTTGCAAATCCATCGCATTGAGGGTGTCAATCCACTGGACTTTCGGCACTGCTCAGAACCTAGGGCTTGCTTGGTTGACATCCAAAATTTGGTAAACCAAAAGTGAGGCAAACCAAAAGTTAGGCAAAAATATTGCTATAGATTTGGCAAGCCAAATGTGAGAGTTTGACAAGTTTTTGTAGTAAACTAAATACTAACCAAAATCATGATTTGCCAAATCATTAACACGGCAAATTTTGGAAGCGAACCACCTCTCAGTCGTTCGCTCAACCAAGCTTTCGGCGCCACCCAGATCTCCGCCGCCTGCCAGACTGAGCCCCTGCCTTCTGCAACCAGCCGCCTCCGGTCTTGAAGTCCATCTGGGCCATGTAATTATAATATAATCTCCATGACCGTAAAATTGGCATTATGTGAATGTACTTTCAAATATAAATCCAATAATATTGAAACTATAAATATAATCTGCATATCCATAAATTAATTGTTAATCAAATGATTAAAAAATTGATATCAAAATTAATTGTATAGTATAATCCAAATATATTCTTAGATTAATTGTTAATCAAAAATAAAAAAGTTTGAATCTTGAGTTGCATGTGCCTTAAAATGGGGAAGAAGGAAGAAAATGTCTGAGATTTGGAAGAACCGTCTCTTTCATTGATCTCTGGAATATATTTATATAAGTGAAGGGGTGTCAAGAAGGGACATAGCTGTTCTCAAAGAGAACTAACTGTCAAATCATATCCACAAATCTTATACTTGATGGATGAAATCACTTCTTATAGCGTCGTTGATGAGATCACCGAAGAGGTGTCTGTTGAAAGACACTGTTTCGTAACAGAAAAGATGGACTAATAACGAAAAGAGAAGTGGCTAGACCACTCCACTTGTTGATTTGTACTCGGCCGATTTCCGCAAATATCTTCAGTTCAGATCCTGCTGGCATACGTTCCACGTTTCCTCAGTCAAACAAAGTTACTGCAATTTTGTACAAGCAACGCCGTTGCCACATGGATACCGTAGACAAACCAAAGCTCAAGCGTTAAAGGGCAGTAGCGAATGAGTGCTTCTGGACTTCTGGTTCAAAGTTCTGATTCTTCGGTACTTGACCACAAAGGCACCTAGCCACTACTCAGAGTGTCTTAGACTTAGATGATCCACAATAAACCTAGGAATTATCTATTTCTTCTGAATGAAAAAGGCAATAAACTCTACGAGAACCAAAGGGTAAAAAAAAAGAAGGAAAACAAGAGCTGACACAGCCATGCTCACTGGAATACCAATAGTTCAGAACAAAAATTTCGGCGCATGCTTCTGTGCACAGTTTCCTCATGCAGGAATTTTACATACTATAGGCAGCTAAATCATAAAAGCTCAGCGACGCATAACGAATGTGAAATCCCAACTCTGTGTTAACAATGATCATGATTGTGGTTTCTTGGCAAACCGCTGCAAGGCTTTTGGGAGTTCGACCTCTTCGCCTATCCGCTGCTTCTTGTCAGGACGTCCATTGATCTCCTCGGATTGCTCCAGGAAGGGCCTCTTGGCTTTGAAAACATCTTCCGCTTTCTTCTTGGCCCGCTTGCTGGGTTTGCTCCTACCCTTGGTCTTCTTCTTGCGCTCAATGTTCTTGGCAGCCTCAATGGCATCTTCCATCTCTTCCTCAATCACTTTCTTGGTCTTCTTCTCTTTCTTCTTTGGAGCACTTACAGTGGCTATCATGTTTGGGTTGAGCATGATAGTCTCCGGCGGGAGTTTATCAAGGAGAGCATGCACCTCCTTCTCACGTTTCTGCTTGGTAGTTTCCATGGGGTTGTCAACAAAGGTATCAAAGTTCGACTCACCGGATCCTGGAACAAGGATGGAAGAAAAGCCCATCGAGTGCCCAATCCCCAGAATATCTTCGTAGGGGCGGAACAAAACCTTCCCAACCTGATAGCCCTTCATTATTTTGTGCTTCATGTAAAGCTTATAATCATGCCCACCAAAATCCCTGTATATCTCTACCTGAGATCCATTGCTGCAGGCCAACAGCCCCTTCTGGCTAAAATCCAAGGACTGAGCACGCTGTGGGTAAGAGTGCACAACCTCATACTTCCTCAGGTCCCAGATCTTTATCTTCCTGTCAACACCTGCTGTTGCCATAAGATGGCCGCCCCTGTCAAATGCAACAGCAGTCACTGGGCCATGATGGCACAGCATAGTAACAAGGGGTTTCACACTGGTTGGTTTCCACATGGTAACTTTGCCACCAGCATGCCCAAGACCAATGACAGCATTGTAAGGATTGGCCCGCATAACATCGGTACGGCCCAGACCGGTCCTGTAATTTGCAACCATTTCACCAGTGCTCACATCTTGGTAGTGGAGCTGCCCAAAGCTGTTTATCGATGCCAAGAGGAATTGTTTAGACAGAAATTGGAGTTTCAATGCTTTTCCATGTTCCTGCCAACATAGAAGCAATCAGACTCACAAAAGGAAACATCTTCACTGAGTTTAGAACCATACCACATCTATGCATTGAGGACAGGCTGAGACTGATAAACATCTCTCAAAATCTATGTTACCAAACTGTTGCGATGCTGATCAGCGCACAGTATTATATTCCAAAGAAATTCCGTCTAATAAGTTCATTTGAAGGCCCAGTGGGATTTAAAAGGAAAATAAAAAAGATACTGAATTGATTAAGTGACAGATGATCTCCTGGATGCAGGGCATTTGACGACTGAACTGTGAAGTATGTGCTCATTTATTGTTTATCGTATGCAAACTTTTATTTCCAGTATTGCCGGAAAATTAGCCAACAGAACTGTAAGTTATATGTTCTTGGAAAATACCAATGTTATATTGAGACTCAGTCACATGTAGCTGAGATCCACTTTCAGTTTGACATATAGTGCAGTTTTCATGAATGCAAAAAATAAGAGAAATTTGATTATATTATTGAATATTTTCTTCTATAATTTTCCTATAAGCATGTGAAAACAATATTTGAACAGTAATATCATCACAGAAATATCACTACTCCTATATTCACCAAAAGATATTTACATCATGCTTACCTTCAGACAATGAATTTCTGTACCATGTTGATTATATATGTAGGGGTACCTGTTTGAAAAATATTTCATGAGTAACTATGAAATGTTAATAGTAGACAGGAAACAGAGACCAACAGCCATATTCAACTGCCTAGAAGTCTAGAACAATAAAGCATCAGCTACAACCATATACAATTTTGCTTGATCTAGCCTAGTACAAACATTTCAAATTATAGAATAATTCAATGGCTTAGTAAAGCAATGACGAACAGTTCCAGACAAGCAATTCTGATCAGTCAGAGCCCAGGTCTCAAATGGCAATTCTCATCTGCTCCTACCTCACATCATCAAGATTCAGATTATGAAGTTAAAAAAAAAAAGATTCAGATTATGTACTAGAAGTTCAATGGGCTGCCAGAAATAGGCTTATTGTTCAAAAAAATGAAGGTTGCTGAAATAATGACTTCAGGATATTTCTGAGGAATATACATCAACCATTTGGAAATAATTTTATGACCTAGTTGATCAATAGATTTGACAACAATTTGGTATATGTTCTCATTTGAGACCCTGAACAGCGATTTCTGTGAATTTTAGTACTCCTTTATTTCATATTTCAGGCCAACAGTTAATACTTAATACATGTTAAATATTTTATGAGCAACGATGACATAGTACACAGTTCCAGCAAAGTAAAAAATTACTTTTTTTGAGCGACTGCATACAACTGCTCATTGTGTAAGAATGTCACATCGCGAACAGTTTCCCTCACCTAAAGAAATAAAAACCAAATCAGATAAAATATATCCATGAAGCGCATGAAAAGAAATAAGAGATGCTAATTGCAATTACTCATTATTAAAAAAGTGGCCAAAAATGGGTGGTGCTGGAAATATTTTGACAGAAATTGAAAGATACATCAGCATTAGTGCAGGGCCACCGAACATTGTTCAAAATAATGGAGTTCATCTTAGTAAACATGGACCATAAACACAACGGAAAGGACATGAATAGTCTCCTACTGTTCTAAGAAAATGACAAGCCTGGACTACAATAATCAAACTTGGTTCACATGTAGCTGCCACCATTCAAAGCATATGAAATGGAGAAAAAAAAATCAGTGTAGAACTTGCATCTTGATAGCTGTTTAAAGTAGCCACATAATTTTTTTAAAGTGTTCATGCAACCCTAACAGACATGATTGAATAACTTGGTGCTTACTAAGCTACCTGTGTGGCAAAGGGGAGCTTGACCAACATAAATTTTTGTAACCAAACCCTTGATTAACATATGACTCAGCCTCCATATACGCCCATTCCCCTCCCTCCCTCCTCCCGTAGGTGCCACCGTCTAGGCATATTTGGAAATCAACAGGATGAAAAGAACCCCAAACACTAATGACACCTCTGGATCCAGAGTAGGTGACAGCCCAGCCCCATCTATGCGAACAAGGTTCCAAAGGGCGCTAGGCAGGCACCAGGCTGCTGCTTAAGTGGAGACTAAACGGAATTAAGTGTTTTTTTTTCTGGGGTGCTTGAGTGCATCACTACATCACAGATTTAGCCCATCCTTAATAACAATAGACCCAGCAGACCACCAGTCGTATCTCCCTTGGCCCAGAAAACATGAGTGGCCCAAGCCCATTAAAGACCCTACACCCAAACCGCATGCCCTCCCATCCTATTCTCCTCACGTCTCTGGAAAGCACACATTGCCCTCCGGTGCTGCACCTCTTTCCTTGTCCCAGCACTACACGCTTGCACAGAACTGCCAGCCGCAATTTGCAAACCATAAGGTCTTGCATCACAGGCCTCAGGTGGCCAGGCCTCATGATAGCATGAGTCGTGGGGGCTTGGGGCTGTGCTGTGCTGTGCTGTGCCGGTGGCGACACAAGAAGCTCAAGTTCGAGATTCCTCTCACAGTCAGTAGCAACGCAAGAAGATGCAACGGCGACAACTGCAGCGCAAGAACTTTGGCACAGGAGTTTTTCCCCCTTTGATAACCTTAGCCGCATTCTTCTTAATGAAATGATACGCAGCTCTCCTGCGTATTCGAGAAAAAGATAACCTTAGCCGCAAGCCCCTTTTCTTCCCCTAATCTACCTGCCTGCACTTTCGTGCTACCATGTTTCTTTTTTCGTGCGCACCCACCTGCCCACCCATGCCCATGCCAGCCTGGCTCGCTCCTGATTTTCCCGGCTTCTATGCCACTTACAATATAGAATGTAGAGGTGCCATGGTTTTATGTTTTGTTATCTAATTTAATTTAAAAACTCAAATATAGCATTCTGGGAATAATTTAATTTAAAAATACAAAAGCTATGATACCAGATCTAAGCAAAATGGACCATTCTTGTTTTTGTTATCTAATTAAAAATTACATGATTTTTAGAGGTGCCATGGTTTTATGTTTTGAATTGACAAAAGAAAATAAAGGAAGAGATCTAATCAGCAACTAGGATGCTGATAAGTCCTATTGGCAATTGTAGGGCCGACAAGTCCTGCACCAGGCCGTTAGCTGACGTGTAGTATTCTTATCGGCGATTAGAAGGCCAATATGCATGTATCAGCCTGTGAAGGGCCGATAACTCACCTGTTGGCTGCCCAAGTCGATAGGCTACTAGATCTACAAATTTTTAGGATTTACTATCTACTAGTTTTGCAATTTTCTATTAAAATAATATTATTTAAAAAAATGCAGAATTAGAACCTGGCATAAACAAGGGTAAGTGAAGTAAACCCATGTGGAGGGAAATACTTCAATAGTAAAAGAACTTACCTCAAACTCCTTGATAAGATCCATATGCAACATATCCATCATTGCAAGATGGCCTTTTCGTCCGCCTACTAGCATGTAGCGGCCATTTGATGTGTATCCTATATTATAAGGACCGAGCACTGCACAATACAAGGGTCAGTCAGAGCCCATAGTACCCAGTGATCACATATTCAGAAAAGTTAATAGTGAGGTTAGACTAACAAAGTTGAATATGCAGATTTCTGGATCAATCAAAATTGGCACTGGACATGAATGTTGGATTCAGTACAGTATCATGTATAAACTATAAATATCAGCAAAAAGGGCAATTTTTTAGATATTTTATACTCTAAAGGATCATATAGAATCAACAAGATTGTTATTATCAAACAGTTAACTGATGGTTTTGGTAAGAGCGACGGATAAGTTATGTTGACAGAAATTCTAACACTAACATTGACTAACAGATTTACCAGGTAAGATCATATCAAATGGTTTTCTTGAACTCAAAAGATCCACCTCCGTCAATATATCCCTTTGTGAAAATCTATATGTCTTCTCCAAATGATCAGGCTCTAAAATACCTCCATCATTTGGCATAAGCCACTGCAAAATGGAGTAACACAAATCAGACAAGGACACATTTTTGAAATTAACAACAGCTTTTTTTAACTCAAACAGGCAGGAGATCTGCATGTTACTTCATTAAAGAAGAAAATTAACAGCAGCTAATTCAAGAGTATAACCATCAAGAACGAAGGTCATGAGAAAAGTGAGTCAAACTAAGAAATCTAAAAGATAAACATATTTAAGTTATTCAAGGGAGCCCCTCATACTGTCTTAAAAAAGGTAGGCATGCCCTTTCACAAATTGCTACTTCCTCTTATCACAAATAGAAGTCCATCTAGGTTTGTCTTTAAGTCAGACTTTTTTTTATCTTCAACTATCAATATCTAAAATATTTATGTAGATAGATAGGACTAGACTGGATCTCTGTTTAAGATAATATACTTTTATAATATTGTTAATCAAAGTATTATATTAGAGACCGCATCAATGTCCAAGTTCTGCTCAGAGGAAGAACTAGGACCTCATCTAAGATAACAAAGCTCTGCTCCAAAGCAACTAAGCAAGTATGTTTCAACTCAGCAATAGTACTTTTAGCAAGCCAATATGCATAAAAAAAATCTACATACAGATCTTCCTGAGGCTTTGTCCTTTTTGACAGTAATGTTTCAGCGACTCATATAATGCTTCAAATGCTAACCCTGTATGTGCGAATACTCACTTGATCAGTTCATCCAAACTGGATTCCCTTGAAGTCAAAACAGATAAACAGCAATTGTGTGGTACAAACATACATATACAATAACCAATCACAGGTTTTTAATATCAGATTCTCTTGTTTCATCCACCTAATGTTCACAATTACACCTAAGATTTCTAGTGAGACAGCAACTTGCATATTCTGCAATCCAAATCCACAACAATGCAATGAAAAGAGAGGTGACCTTTTCGGCCTTTGCAGCAGCTTTTGCAGATTGGCCATATAGCTTCTCTTTTACACTGAGCTGCCCTTTCAACTTCTTGTCCCCCAGCGCCTACAAAGCCATTCCAAAACCAAACTAGTCAATGTGCAGTTTCAAGAGAAAATGACAGTAGCATAGCTGGCCAGCATATATTCATCCTAAAGTAGAATGATTAACACTTGCAACTTGTTTGCAAGAGCACAATAAGGGATTACCTTCAAGTCAGCACCCTGCCCCCGCGAATACTTGGCCACCTTCATCTCCAGCTCGTGCTGAGCGTCCTGCTACGGCATCGATGCAGTGGAGTAAGAGGACCATGAGATAACCGCATGAATCGGGAGCAAAAAGAAGCAAATCTCTTAGAATATAAAGAAATGAAGAAAATCGAGCAGCAAAATTACCTTCTCGGCATCCACCCGCGCCGGCGCCATGACGAAGCCGCACCACAGAGACGGCGGAAGGCCGGCAGTGGGGGCGGAGCGAACGCGCCCGGTGTGGCAAGGGACGAAGGAAACGAATGGGGAGGGGGGTGGACTGTCTCACAGGAGGCGTCCGGTGGAAACGGGGGTGGCCCGACGAGTCCCAACTCCCAAGCGACAGCCGCCGACGCCCGACGGTACCGAGTGAGCCGCCAAGCGTGGTGGCAGGTTTCCCTCTCTCTTGCCGTCGCCGTGGCAGGCGGCGGCTTTGTGTGGTTCCGACCTAACGGGCTGCCTAGGCTGGGCATGCGCTTGCTGCCTTTCATGCTACGGGCCTACGGCCCAACAAGAGGAAAGGACTCGGATTTGTTTTATTTTTAACATTTTTATTACTTGATATTTAAAAATAAATAAAATCTAAAAAAATCATATCTAAATGGTTTGCGCGCCAGTCCGAACAAGATCAAATGAGTTAGATTTTTTTATTTTACAAATAAACATTTCTCAGTTACTAATACTCTAAAAAATAATCTATCAAGAAACCATTTTCATATCCAAATAAAAATTATGGTGTCAATCCACGTGGCGCGATCAAATTACACTATCATACTATATGTATTGACGCAATAAGGCTATTATGCTAGCACCACAAATGGATCAAATTACATTGCTATTATGCTGGCACCACAAATCTGACATGGGCGCTCCTATCTCTTCCTTTTGGCACGACAAAGTAGTTTTGTCACGCCACTCATTAGCACGACAATGAGAGCACTCAACCAAAACTTATTTTCCCATTGTCTTTTATATGCTATCATATCAAATAATCTATTAGGATTTGATCTCATGAAAACTCAACACATGTGTTGTATGTGGTGTAAACCCACATTAGTACAGCGATGCTTTCTACTGGCGGTAATTTTGGTATTTTCACTAGCATTTCTCGCTACCGCCAGTGCAAATCTATTTACATTGGCTTGGTAAAATCTATTTACATTGGCGTCTGCTAGAAAACCGCCAGTGCAAATCTATTTACATTGGCAGTTGGTTTAAGAAAACTGCATATGTTAAACGTTTTACACGAGCGGTGGATTTAAGTCAACCGCCAGTGTAAACTCCTTTATACTGGTGGATATCTTAAGCAAACGGCTTGTGTAATGGATTTCTAGAGACGTCTTTTGTAAAACAACCGCCTCTGTCAACCCATTTTAGAGGTAGCTTAGTAGCATAAACCACCTATAAAATTATCTTTAAAAATTCAAATGTTCCTGCCATATTACTGTTAAACCCTATCACGCCATAATTAATTATAACAATGTACCCAAATATATATCACATGCAATTATATTTCCATCCTCCATCTATTCATGTAAGACAAGGTAAGTCAGAACTTTTTGATTGCAAAACTAACTCATGAAGAAAAGGGTAAGATTAGATCTAAGATAGGCAAGAGTTAAGTAACATACAAGTGACAACCTTAGCACTCAAGTTAATTTGTTTCCAAAACAATTTCTTTTCCTTAAGTGAGTCAGCTTGAGTTATCTAAGGCTTTCCTAACTTATATTACAAGTTTCCACAATCATTCATTGTGTGCTCTGATACCCATCCGGCCGATTGTCAGGATCACCTCTCTCTTGGGTCGATTACCTAACTAGGTATAAATTGTGATTGTAACTCATGGTTTCGATTATGTTCAAATTAAATGAACTTCATGTATAATTTGTAATTTGTGCTCTACTCGCATGAAATAAAACTTGTTTCGCGGCGGTTATGTATTTATGCATTGCGCTAGTGAAGTGCACGAAGTGTATCTCTAGGGATTAGCGTGGCGAATTGGCTTAATCTGAGTCAATAGACACTCAGTTTAGGTGGATTAACCTGTACAGGTCCTTACAAAATGATACATGATGGTACGTTGTTTCTGTTTAATTGGCTATTTGTCTCATTTAAATGGTTGTTTTGCCCTTTTTAAGTAGGTGTTTAGCTAGAATAACATCTAAATGGCAATTGACCGATTGTTTAGTGCTTGGGATAACACTAGATCTAAGAGTGGTTGTTGGTTAGAAGTGAACTGCACGGTGAATATACAAAACACTAGAAGATGAAACCTTCACTCAAAAATCATGAATCTGCAACGTTTTTCATCACACCCTTCTCCACAAAGCACAAGTTTGATCTGACAATACCACTTCACGCAGGCATAGGCATCTGCAAATTTTGGGTGTTTGGTTTTAGAAATAACTAAACTCTAGATAAGGTGGTGCATCATGAGCCCATTTCTCAAATTCGGTGGAATGATTTTATTCCTCTTGCTAGTACTAATTGTTAGCTTGTGAGGAATGAGGTGATGATGGATCAACTTATTCCAATCCACGAACCAAACAAAAAGGTGAGTGAAAAGATGATATAACTCATTCCTCGAACCAAACACCCTGCTCAGTACAATTCCCAACACACCATGGTTTGGTTTAACTCAAACAGTTAATTGCACTCAAGACTCTTTTGTTCGGTCTAAACACTTGTCATCAGAATATTGTGGTCAGGCCTCACAACACCCCCTGTTGTCGGTACAGCATTATCAAATCCCCAATCCTGTCAGCAAAAGTAAAACTGGGACCAGGACAAGCTTCAGGACAGACATATCAACCTACATATACAGATACCCTGCACAAGGGCTTCTTTTCTTGTATACATGCGGATCACTAGATCACTAATACATTAGATGATTCATCCATGATAGACACCTGGAAGTCTAGGCATTATTGGACAAGCTCGGGAATAAGCCTCAGCAGGAACGAGATCTCGCGCTGCGAGAAATTCGGTGTTGTGTCTCCTCTAGCTGCCTGGTTGCTCAAGTTGTCCACTTCCACGTCAGGCTCGGGCAGGGCAATGAGCTCAGAGACTGCGTCGGTGATCTCCGGCACCAGGTCGACGATCACCCCATTCACTCCCATGAGGTGCTGCATGTACACTGCCTCCGGCACATTACTGCGACAAGGATATACAGATGACAATCATGAGCATCTAAATTCAGGGAAATGCAAACAAGGCAGTGCTACAAATTCGATCTATTTTGTGAACTTCACTTACTTCAATGTCCCGTAGGTTAGCAGGGAGAGGTTAGCCTCTTTGATCTTTGGTACGGCACCAGGGTGCCTGAATATCCCGCGGGCTTCTGAAACTATTCCTTGCATGCCACTGGCAAGGCATAGCTTGACGGCCTCCTCCAGCGAGTTCCTTCTCACGTCGGTGTATAGCTCTGTCCCTCCGTTTGTCAAGAAGTAGACCTGATACAAGAGCATGAAAAGGAAGTGCTGTTCATAAAACATGAAAAAACAAATGCTATGGTGTTCGTTCCATGCATGCTTGCACAGTGTTCAGCTCACTTACAGGGTATGTGCCTTGCAATTGACGCATGAGCTGTGCAGCATCGGGTTGAAAACTAGAGAAAAGTATAGGCCTATCCTTGGCGTGCTCAGAAATCACCTGGAAACTCAAATGTACGAGATGCTGTTCCGTTAGATAGGAGGCAAACCTCTCAGGAAAGTTTTGAAAGAAGTATAAAGTCTTTGTACCTTGAGGATGGCCTGGAGGATGCGAGTGAGCTCTTCCTCCTGGTATTCAAGACTGTCATCAAATTTCAGCTCAACGTTGAAGCCCAATCTTGGACTGACCTTCTCGAACGCTTCTTGAAGTGTGCAAAGAGCGTCCTCTGATTGCACATTCCAGTTCACCATCCTACCATCCTTCAGTCTGCGAAGCAGGGGCTTCCCAACCTTGATTCAGGAGCAAAGAAAATAACATCATCAGATGGTACTGGTTGGTTAATGGTTATTCTCAATCTCATAAGCACGATGGTGACCCGCCGTACCTTCCCCTGCTCATTCTGGGGGCCATACTGGAGGAAGTCTTCCAGATTAATATCAGTCACACGCTTCTGTGAAATTTTACCCTGGAAAAGGTGAAGATGAAGAGATTTGGCCTCTATATTAGTACCGGTATAAAATAAAGTTCCGTGGTTTACCACGTTAATGAAGTACGTGTGAACTTACATCTTGTTGGGTGAAGATGATGTTGTCATGGAAGATGATTGGGCACCCATCCTTGGTGACCTGCAAAATTGGTATTCACGGTTCTCTTCACAACATCTTTGCACACCGAATTATTGAAGAGACGAAGGGTAGAGGAGAAGCAAAAGTAGACAAATCAGTACGTTTCTTGAAACAAATTCAGTAATTATGTATCGTGTTTGAGCAAACTACCAGAGGGAACATTCATTTAGCAAGGGCACCCGCAATGCTATTTACTAGCTTTAAGACAATTTCTCCGATAGTGCTAACTTTTAGCACGTAGCTTTTCTCATGAATAACCTCATGTAACACTCTCATGTAATTTTGAAATGTGTGCAAAAGTTTAACTCTTGATAATGAGATATTTTTTCTCTCTCTTCTACTAAAATATAAAAAATGTTTAGAGCTAACTTAAAAATCAATTGTTGGAGCTGCCCTGGGCAGAGTACTAGATTATAGGGTAAAAAAATTGTGAAACGCGCTTTTCATCCTGACTCCGTCTTCTGTCGACGACACCAAGCAATCCAGATGTAGAGCTGTCCGGTGGATGGTCTCTACTCTCAAGCCACATCGGGACGCGACGCGGCACATGGAGCAAGCGAGTGGAGGCGACCACCGCCTGGGGGCTGGGGCACGGCACGGGAGGGGACACCTTCTTCGCCGCCCTGCCCCACAGCAGTCACGTGACAGAGATCGCACCGCACGGCACGCCGGTGGATCTGCCGTCCCCGTCAAACAAGCCCCACCCACCCAAGGCCTCTCTGCTTGCCTCGGTAATCGCGAGCCTAATCAACGCAGTAACGGGAAGGCAATAATTAAGCGCTTTTCTCTCTCTTTTTTCTCTCCGTGTTTTCTTCTTCTTGTAGCGTAGGAAAGGAAACCAAATATTTACTGAGGTAGGTTTCGTAGGTGGTTGTGCAATGAATGAATGGATGAGTACCTGCACGTCGAACTCGACGTAGTCGACGGGGAAGCGCGCGGCGTCGTTGAAGGACCGGATCGTGTTCTCGCGCACCTCCTGCATCCGCGGGTCCGCCGACGCCAGCGCGTTCATCCCCTTGCCGCGGTGCCCGATCACCGAGAACCGGCCGCCGCCCGCCGCCGCAGCGCCGCTCTTCACCATCGCCACCGCCGCCGACGCTGACGCCGTCGCCGTGCCCGCCTCCACCACCAGGCCAGGGGCCACCACGTCCAGGGTGGGCACGTCGGCGGCGCGCGCGGCTTTGAGCAGGGCCATTGTTGCTATACCGACGAAGATGTGATGCTTCTTCTTGTATCGGTTGGCGAAGATGGCGAGGCGTTGGATGAACTGGAATCGAACTGGAATCGTATTGAAATTGGGTGGCGAGGTCGCGACGGGGAAGGGAAGCGGAAGGTGGCTTTATATAAGGCAGGCAGCCGAGGCCGATGGTGGAAATCGAAGCGGACGCGGAATGGCGGGAATATTCCGGGGTATCCTCCAGGATATTCGGATTGGGGGCCATGCTGCGGACAGGTTTCCGTTTGCCTGTCCTCTTTCTCAAACCTACTCAAGTTTCCTACCCTTCCGTCCGTTTCAAACCAGAGGGATTAAGTACTAACATTTTTTGACGCAAAACTTCCGTCTTTTTATTCCTTTTTATTTGACCAGGCAGCGTGTCTGTGCGTTGCTACGGAATAAACTTTATACTAAAAATACACGGATCGCACGATAAGATAACAATACTGTGAACATTTAACCAAAAGCAAAGTTTATAAAATTAACACAGTCACAAAGAGCATACCGTCGCAGGCTCATAAACTCTAACATTTTTCTGATGTGGCTAAGATAATGTGTTACATCGGCAGAAAGAAATCTCACGGATATTTAATTTCATAGTACATGATGGTATAGAGATGTGGCGGAATGTATTTATTGGTGCACGAAAGAAATAGATATCGGAAATTTCTTCCTGCCGATATAAAACATATTATCTTAGCCACATCGCGAAAACATTTATACAGTAAAGTTTGCGAGCCTATGATGCCGCACTCTCCATGACTGTGTTAATTTCACGAACTTCGCTTTTTTAATTAAATATCACTTTAAGTTCACTTTTTGGATTAAATAACACTTTAACGTCATTGAATTTCACAGTATTGTTATCTTATCGTGTGATCCATGTGTTTTTAATACAAAAGTTAATGCTCGTGCGTTGCAAGGAAAAAAAATAAAGTCAAGACAATTGAAGGTTGTACGTGTATTTTACCATGACAAAAAATGACATTCTGGAATTCGAGATAGCAATACTGTTGGACCATATTCTCTCCCCCAAACAATTCAAACCAGACATCACGACTCTTATGTTGCTCTAAGCCAGTGCATTTGTGATATCTGATATCCCGAACTCAGTAACACATATGCCTTCTATCTTGATTTGCTCAAGTGAAGCCTGTTGGGATAAATATACAAAATATCAAAACCTCCAAACTCAGAAATTCCTATAGCGTCCTGATTTGCTCAAGTGAAGCATGTTGGGACAAATATACAAAATATCAAAAACTCCAAACTCAGAAATTCCTATAGCGTTGTTTGCGGCAGTGGCTAGGGAGCGGCGAAAGCAATTCCACAACGGGCATGTGTGTGTGACATTACCAGTGTCTTGACCTCCTGGTGCTTGTCCAGCAATCAGCAGTATTCTGTAGCCTCAGCCTATGTCGCAATGTTCTATGGTTCATCAAAACCGCCTGGGGCTAAGCAAATCTGCAAAAGCGATGTCCTCCCATAAGTCCAAATTTTCTTTTAGCTGGTGATGCATGGACGTTGTTGGACTGCTGCTAGGAGACACTGCTGCTAGGAGACACTGTCATGGGTTGCAGAGCTCTGATGAGTGCATCATCTGTGACCAGGCACCAGAAACTATGGATCACCTTCTGCTGGGTAGTGTTTACAGTAGAGAAATTTGGGCAACAATCATAAGGAAGCAAACATTGTATCTTCCCCTTCCCTGGTAAGAAGAAAAACGAACATGAAACAGAAACTTTGCAAGCACATACTGAAGACAGACAAATTCAGATCAGCTATAGACAAAGCAAGTATACTGACCATCATTTATATGATGTGTATTGTGGTGCTTGTGCAGCCATGATAACAACAGAAAGGGTATAGTGGAAAATTTGCTCAGGTACCAGTCCACACATGCTCCTCGGCTCCTGAGATAGCCATCAAAGTGCACAAACCCTTCTAGGATGGCCTTGTCAAGTGTGGGGGATGGTGTCCTCCAGCACCAAATATGTTGTTGTGTACATGTCAGCTGAACCCTGCATTTTACGACAACTTAATTGAGAATTGGCACCACGCTTAACCTAAACTATCAAATGACAAAGAATCCGATCTAAAATGTACCCCTAGCGCTTACCAATAAATAATCCACCAAGAAGCAATTTACTATCTAGAATGACAAGGTTCATAGCGTGGTGCCAATTCATATTTACATCTTCACCAATAAATAAATTGGAGCAATAAACAGTGCTGACATATTTACATCTTCATCAGCACCATGCTTAATTAGTGTTTGGTGTCTGATTGGGGTCTTCTTGCATTTTCACACCATGCTGACCAAAAGCTTTTTGTTCGATTTCCTTCACATATACTACAATCATTAAACATGTCAAAATGGGGCTTGCTAACAATATAATAAAATGCAAACATAAAACATGCTAAGCATCTCAATGTGAGCACTGAAATGATAATGTAATCACCAATATCGATATTTTTGACAACAGTAGAGAAAACAACAAGAGTTGAAGGATATTCATCAACTTCCAAAAGTCACCTATGTGGATCTAGGAGACAACAATATCAAAGACATTGATCTAGAGTAGGGTTCCAACCATGGTACAAAATGGTATTGCAAAACAAAAAAAAGAACATTATCGGACACCCTGAACTATTAGTTTGCCCTGAACACCATTGAACACTGATTAATTTATTTTTTATATCAATTTCCCATGTTACGAGAGTGATTACCTCAAGGGAATAGATTGCATGCTCGAAATGATACACTGGCCAATATACTTTCCTGGGATACAAATATTCAGAAAATGTAATTGAAATATGGAAAGTTTACTGGATTCACTTGCCTTCATGAACGCACCAACCTTTTGCATATGTGAGATTGACAATGACTTAAAACGCTAGGTTAATTGGAAGTGTCAGAGTGTTGTAGGCAAGACCTGCATCACATCACTGACAATAGGAAAAGATATCACTGTTGGGTCCCAAATAGTCTATGCTAATATTTAAAAATCTGTTATTGGAAATTGCAAGAACAAAATAGGCTATATCAGCAAGGAAGCCAATACTGAAACCCTATAGTGCAATGCTGCCTCGAAGTTTGACTATGAAATTTATTTGCAGACTGGGATGCAAGGCATCACCTGTAATAAGGAGAGTTCAGAGGTTTTAACAGAATCATTATGTCATAGGGAACAAAAACAGAACATTTCCTTATTTTAAAGAGGACAATCTGAACTTCCAAATATTGTATGTGTTTAAATCAGTCTTGAGTGTGATCTTACAATGTTCCTGCAACCCAATTGCATCATAGAAACCTGCTGCCAAAGCTTGAATAATTGAAATCATGTTGGTTTCAGTATTTGGGTGAGGAATAGCTTTATATTATATTATAATCATGCATATTTTAATGAGTTCATTGCTGGAGAACATGGGAGGAAAAAAAGGAATTATATATACAGGGAACTCAAAATAATTTATCAGCTCACTATTCATCTCATTGGTTGTGAATTTAATAGATAGTTTGACAACATGAGAAAATGAGGACTCGATCGTTACCTGCAGTTGCAGGTGGTCGCGCGGCAAGCTCCCTGTGCGAGCACCTCCGTGATGACCGCGTCCTCTGCCTTAGCCCCCCTTGATGCTTTCTACAACGACATGAGCCCCACGCAGAGACCACCACAGCTCCATCATCAGCCACCACAAGATCCCAATGCGCGGGAGGAGAGGGAGGAAAGGGGCCGCACGCACGCACCGAGGTATGACTGGATGGATTGCTGCAGCACGGCGAACTTGCCGCGGTTGGCGGCGCACCCCTTGAGCATGGCCTCGAAGGTCCGCGTGACGAACCGGCCCACGGCGCCCGCCATGGCCGTGGATCTCAGCTCCGGCCGCGGAGACGGGAGGAGGGGCGGAGTGGTTAGATCCTAGGAGGGGGAGTGGGCATGGGACGGAGAGGGCGCGAGATCTGAAGGAGGAGACCGAGAGCCCCCGCTGAAGGGAGCAGGGCCACGCATCGCACGAGGAAGGGAGCAGGCGCCGCTCCCCGCGGTGTTGTTTCCTTCTCGGAGGATCCGAGATCAACGCGCGGAGATAAGGGGGCCCACCCGGTGGCGCGACTTCCCTTTGCGGGATCACACCGGGCAGGACGATGGACCCACGTTGGAATGTCGCACCAAAAAATGTTCACGCTTTATTCTTTTTAGTTGTAGGAGATTGATTGGAGAAACTGTATAAACATAGACACTCAGCTCATATAAGCGGAGAGATTTTTGAAGTTATCCACAGATGTCATATTGATCCCTAAAGTAACAGAATGTATTTTTGATATCTAAAGTTGTTTTGGGTCTTATTCAGGTCTAAACGTGCGTTTACCCAACTTGATAGCTGACCTGACATATCAATTCAACGCTTGTATGGATATGACAAATAGGACCCACATGTCATTGGCAAGGTCAAACCTTAAAAATCGTATTTTTTTCATACAACTTTAGATAAAGATGATTTTTTTATATGAAAATTATAGCCGAGATTTACAACTTTCTAGTTTCGAGTCTTCTTCATTTGAGATCATTAAATTGCTTAGAAAATAATATAAAGTTTTGATAGATATTAATCGCATACCAAGCTTGTCGCCTTAGAAAATCATATTTTCTTGTATGGTGTCGAATAAAGATACTTTGTATATGATTTGTACATAAAAACTCTAGCTCTCGATGAGATCTACAAATTCATAATTGTGAATTTTCTCATTTGAGATCACTATGGTTCAAAAATAATATAAAGTTTTAGTAGCATATTAATCGTGTATAAGGGCTCGTCGTCTTACAAAAATCATATATTTTTGCACAGTGTCATATAAAGTTATTTTTATATGAAATTTGTAGCGCTCGGTAAGATCTATAACTTTATACTTTTGTGTTTTCCTATTTAAAGTTGTTTAGATTTTTTTCAAAAGATAAAAATCAAGGGCAAGTCGCCTTACTAGAAAGCTATGATTTTTCTAAGGCGACAAACCATGATACATGATTAATATACTGCTAAAATTTTGTATTACCTTTTTATTTTCTTAACAACCTCAAATGACAAATTCAAAACTATAAATTTGTAGATCTTATCGAGAGCTACAATTTTCATATACAAAATATCTATATGTGACACCATATACAAACTAGAAGGTTGAGCTTTATCGATGACATGTGGGCCCTTCTATCAGATCCATGTAAGCATTGAATCGACATGCCAAGTCAGCCACCGGGTTGGATGCCCATTTGGATCTAGATGAGACCCAGACCAATTTCAGTGACCCAAAAAAAGCATTTTAGAACTTTGAGGACCTATATGACACCTGCAGACAACTTCAAAGAACTACAGTAAATTTTACTCGTATAGACACACACGTACACTCACTCCCTATAATTGTACACACACACACACCCGGTACACTAGATTCCATATTCACTGTCGGGTCAAAACCTCGATCGATCTGCCAGATTTGGCTCCGACAGTGGACGATCGGCTGTGATAGGGGCACCCTCATCAATGTTGGGTCTAGAACCAGCAATAATAAGTAATAGATAAAAGAACAAAAAATATGTGTTTCCTAATCCTAGGATTCAAACTTGAGACCTTAGTGTTAAGGTCCTCCGCGTGCGCTTACCAGCTGTGCTACGCAACACATGTGACTATATAGCGGACGCTATTCTTTTAACTACATAATTTCAAATCTTATATTATATATTTCATACTCCAAACAATCTCAAATGAAAAATTGTGAACAACAAACTTGTATCTCATCGAGAACTACAACTTTGATGTTGACTTCATCTCCATTTGACATTGTTAATCATCTCAAATCTGATTTGAGAAATTATTGCATATTTAGACTCTTAAATCATCTCAAATCAAAAAGTTGTTGTCAACTACAAAATTTTAGATCTTTTTAAACTCTAATTTTGATATAAAATTTATCTTAATCCGATGTCATATGAAAAAGTTATAAGGCTGTCGCTTTGTGGCCACAAACCATCAATGATGTACTTATCACTGTCTGCTCCACCATAAAAGGTGGTAATGGTACGGCAGTGATTGCGTGCTCTGGTGTAGTGCCTACCTATCCTAACTGACTGAGCTATGCTTAATTCATATAGTTATCTTCTTTTATTATATCAAAAGAAATACTTACATATGATTTATATCGACGATATCTTGGATGCCATTGGGGACCTCGGCATGTTTATCCTTAACGAAGTAATACACAAGAGAGGACGATTCCATGATTGGACGTCAGTGCTATCGCATCAAGCATGTTGCTGGAGTCTTCATGAGGAAACTCTTAAATTTAGGTCGTTGATAATATGCATATAGTGTAACATTCTTAATATCTAGTGTGATGTTTAGATTCACTCTATATATACATTGATGACGACATATGTAGGATATCACGTTTACATAAAATATAATAACAACAATGTTAGCAAATACAAATCAATATGTATCAGATACGATTAAATTTAATGTATAGTACATTACATGAAATTGGCGGAAATGAAATTTCAAAATCAATCTAATACTATTACACATTTAAAAAGTATTTAGAGGGATGGTTGAAATCATCAACTGCCTTTAGAAAACTATTTTTAGAGGTGACTGATAATTCTAGCCCCTTCTTGAAATCAATTTTCAGATGTGACTGACATTTTGGCCCGTTTCTGTAGCTCCATTTCCAAATGCGATTGTACATCTACTCCTAAAGTTGGATGATTTCTAGAAACACATAAATAGAGGCGGTTGGTATAGCTGTCTCTAAAAGCTGGTTTTAGTCGCCTCCAGGAGCAACTCTGAGAACATCTTTATGTCCTTCCTTATTAATAGGAATAGAGATTTTGATAAAAAAAATGTTCTCCAGCAGGTTTAATTAAATATTTAAATATTATCATTCTCTATTTCAGATTTTCGCTAGTAAAAGAATGGAGAGGGAGAGTGCGAGACTGACTTTTTAGAGTGCGTACAAGATATAAAGAAGTTGTTTAAGGGTGAGAAGTAATAGGGAACGATTTTTATTGAAATAACTCCCTAAATGATAATTTAGAGTGAGTTAGGGTGCATTTGGTTCGAGGACGAAGTTGGATGGGATATAGCGATCCATGTATATTGGGATAAGGATATCCATGATGCATGTTTGGTTGGATGGATGAGACAAGCCATTTTTCTGTTTGGTTGGATGGATGAAAGTAGATGGGATGAGAATAGTTGACTAATTATATCTATTATTTAAAATAATAACAACTAGTTAGACACTAATAAATATGCACTAATACTAATTTTATCATGATAATCCCTAATTTAAAATAAAATATGTTAATTACCACCACCGATATCCTAATTAGCACACTAAACATGCACTAATCAACGTATTATCACTTATCAAAACTAATCCTACCAACATAATTACAAATTAATAATATGACATACTAATGATCATTAATTTATTTACTAATGACAAAGATTAGAAGACAAGGATAAGCTGGTCCACGTACGAATATGAAAATCCAGCATCTTGGTGGTATATATTCTCTATTCATGAATTTCTTTATCCTAGTTATTCACCAACCAAACATTGTATTTCCATGGATGAAAAACCGTGAAGGACATTTTTTAAGTAAACGGAGGAGGTCGTAATACCGGAGATATTTAGGAAGAGACCCATATTAATTACTTCCATTCCGTGAAGTGACTCGGATGCTCAAATTAAGTTGTCTCTAAAGAGTCATCTCTATCTCGTTGCCTAGTGGGAACCGATTCCAGTGCACCCAATGGCATATATACAACATATAACTATTCCCAGTCGTGTACTAGCTAAAGACAACTTGTGGGATCACAATCAGTCACAGAATATTTCTACGTGTGACCATCTGAAATCCGACCATTTGCCATTGCACTTTCGAGCTCCTGTTTGGAATAAACCGTAGTGTCCCGCGCACATAGCAGCCATGGAGTCTAGAGACTGCTCTGTTCAGACTGTTCTGCCGCTTCATGTATGTACGTAACTGAGCCTGAGCTTTATTCTACCGATTGTTGAGGAGACAACAAGAATAATTGATTGATGCTCTATCTGCGGTAGTACAGACCGATTCCAACACCGGCATCCAGTTCCGTTCCATATGCGTACGAGGGCGACCGCCCAGCCTCTCGTAGGCTCTCGTACACGTCACTGATTGCAGGCTGTTGGTCGTGTGTCATCAGCGTCACGTTTATTGTTCGCATTTTGTCAGCTCGTTCGGAAGGATATACTACTACTTTGCAGAAAAGAATATTATTCTCCTTTTAAGAGATAAAATAATTTTAAATTTGATCAAATATATATCTCCTACAACTAAAAGGAACAAAGTGTGGATATTTTTTGGTGCGACATTTGTTTTGGTTCGTCCGTCTGTCCACGCCTGCGATCCCATGACATCTTAATTACTGATTGATCGTGCCATTCTTCTTGATTGAATATTGCCTGTCATGTGATAGAGGAATCACGGTAAAATAGGAAGTAGAAAATTATTGTGCTATCCATATACACATTGCATGTTTGCATGGACCAGCATATATGGCAACGAGCAAAAGAAAAGAGAATTAACACAAAAGTAAAGAGAATTAAGACAAAAGGAACATCTTTACATTTCTGAGAACCTTGCTAAATCTGTCTATATTTAATTACTTTCCCTCTTTGTATTTGCAAAAGGGACAGCTTTTTCCTCCTTTCATTTGGTTTCATGCTCAAGTGTTCCATCGCCCTCGCTTGCTGTTTCTTACGTGAACCATAGTTGATGTCATCTGTCTTCCATGCCTCACCTCCCAATCCCAAGAGAAGGTCCCTACC